GGAAGCCAGTGATGGGCAGAGACCTACCAGATTTGAACAATGCACTCAAATATCTTGAGAAGAGCTTCATCAAACATGGCACAGAGACAGCCTCCAGTAGCAGATAAGTATAAATACATGTCAACTATGTAATATGTATTCAAATACTAGGATAATGTATAAAACTTCTGTTCTCCAGGTATTGACTCCTTATTTCATTCATTTCACATTCAACCTCTTTCCTCCTGTACATAGGATCCCAAAATCATTAAGACTGGAAAAGACCTGTAAGATCATCGAGTCCCCCCCATTAACACATCACCAGTGTGTTAATTAAGCCATGTCTCCAAGTACCACATCCCATGGTTTTTGAACACTTCCAGGGATGGTGACTCCACCACTTTCCAGTGCTTGACCACCCTTTCAATGAGAAATGTTTCCTACTATCCAATCTAAACCTCTTCCTGGTGCAACTTAAGGCCATTTTCTCTTGTCCTTTCACTTATTAACTGAGAGAAGACACCAAATGCATTGCACAACTCAAAATTAAGTCAGCCAAGATTCTCAGGTTTTCTACCTCTTACCACCACCCTGCAGCTGTTATCCAGCTGCAGGGTGGTGATAAGAGGTAGAAAACCTGAGAATCCCATTCCCATGTGACCAGCAGTTTGCTCAGCTCAGCACACCTGCAGCAGCTTCAGTGACCAACACATGGATTGAACAGTTATGCACACTGTGAACCCAGTATGTGTATGACAGTAATACATCCCAGGCAGAAGAACTCTCTAGGAAAGGCTCTCCAAATCATTATTTCACTCAGCTTGATTAAGAAGATGAGCTGTCAGCACTGAGCTCCTGCAACAGAGCTCCCAAGGCTGACCAAGGTGCAGGCACATTTTAGGGTGCTGTGAAGTGCCTAGGAAGACCTCTGGGAAACTCAGTTAATTTGAAGTGCACTTGTGCTGCTCTGTAGGTCCTGTATAGGGGAAATCAAAGCCCAGACAGCACAGCACACACATGCAAGGCAAAGATGCTCCTCTGTGAGAGAGCTGGCTTCTCCTTTCCACACCTGCAGGCACAAGGAGACCTAAGCTGGCCCCTGGTGTGCTCCTGGAGTGACCATTGCATCTTCAGACGATGAGACCTGTTTGGGTCTTGGGAGTTTGGGACAAGGCAATGTACCAGGTAGCCAGTGCTGCCCCATGCCCTGTCACATCTGTCCTGGAGGTGTGGGCAGCACTGAGCCTTTGCCACAGCAGTCTGTCCTTGAGGAAGCAGAGGGAGCATTGCCTCCTCCTGAAGGGAACTGAGGAGTGGGAAGAAAGGAGGTGAATGGCATTCCTGAAACGTGGGAAAAGAAACATTTTATCATGGTTGTCATGGAAACTGGGAATGGACAATAAGCACTTAGATGTTTTATCATGTCCCTTAGCACTTGTAGCACGCAACCTGTGTGAAAAGAAGCATTATCCTTTATAGGGAAGCTGAGAGGTACCTGAATGGGGAAAAAAAACCAAAACAACTGAGAGAATCTCTGCCATGGCATCCCAGCAGAGGGGCTACAGAGACAGCAGGGAGATGGCACTTCCTGAGGTGCTGCCAAAGAATGGGAATGAGGTACTGTGGAAGGATGGGCAGCACAGAGTCAAACACGTGGGGACGCAGGATTTGGCATGGAGAATCCCATGGAACTCCAGAGTACATGCCACCCTTGGGCTCTCATTACTGCCAGCCTCACTTTGGCACCTTTCTGTGATCCTACATCTTCTTAGTCCAACCAGGCATCTCACTCGCAGCTGTTCTGTTTGTGTGCTTCTCAGTGCACTATTTGAGGTTTTATTCAACACATCATGTATTACTTTCATCACTCAAATTAATTTTGGTGCATTTGACTGGAAAAGGTCACATAGCTCCAGCTCAACCCCTAAATGACAGATCATGCCCACACACTATCAATACTCCAAAGAGCAAGACATTTCCCTGGTTACAATGCATTCGTAGGCCAAAAATCCCTCTCTGTCCTCAGCACACCAAACATCCAGTATGTTGTGGTCATGATTATTTTGGTCATTTTTCTTTCCCCATCTGCCTAAAACATTAAATTTCTTCCTCCTGCTCCCACTCACATTCCTCCTACAACATTTCCTTCAGGAAATCTTCTTATGGATGTGCAAAAAAACTGCAGGCACTTATCACATGAAACACATCATGATGAGAAACACCCACCCTTCTCATGAAGTACCACCTCCCTCCTATCCATCTTCCTGAAGTACATGCCAGTGATCATCTGCAACCACTCTGCACAAAGCTAAATAATTCTTCCTTCATGCTGAAACCACCAACAAATAGCCTCCTTGGCCAGGGAAACAGAGCATACACTGATTCCAGATGCCCAGAACAAGAAGAGTTATAATGTTCATATCTCTAGGAGCAAATAGTCCCTCTCCATACCAGCACCTAGACCTGTTTTTTGCAATGACACACCATCACAGATCTTTCCACTTCCCATTATTGTCAGTGAATATTTTATAGTGATCAGTCAGCCTGTGAAAATCCATGGAAAGTACCTGGTCCTGCTGGAAAAGACCCAGGTACATGTGTCTGTCATTTACAACCCTTAAAGCCAGCTCCAACTCTTGCACATTTCCAGGCTTTTGACATGACAGAGCAGAAATCTCCCCATTTCAAATCCCTGTGACATTTGTGTAGCTGATCTCCCAAGCCTGTCTGGTGAGTTCCTGATCAGCAGTAAGACACCAGAGGTAATGGATGGACACATTCACGCTCCTCTCCTGTAGCTCTGGGCTCTGCTCACTGATCTAATTGGTCTTTGTCATCCAAAAGCTTTGCCACTGGCAGCGACCATCAGTTCTAAACCACTACCTGTTCTCACCAGTTGTTGCTGCCTAGGTGAGCCCCAAAACAAAAATTTCATCAAGCAAAACAGCTTCATGTAACTTCTCCACAAAATTCTATCTCATCTTCCTCTGGGATCATTTCCTGCAGTGTATCACCTCAGTATCCAGTGTCTTTGGAAACCTCAGATGTAAATTCTTCTGCCTGCCCAAATACAAATGCATGTGCATAATTCTGTCCATATTAATGAATCTCATAATCATAGCACTTAGCAGCATGTCCTCCATCTGCCAAACAGTAATTTGAAAATGGTGCCAGGAACATTAATGGGTGTCAGGAAAGGATGTGAATCACGGGAGCTCGGAGGTTTAATACGCTTACGCCTCCAGACCAGTATTCCTGTAGTTTTGGAAAGGCATCCCACAAATTACTGCCAGGAGTACAGAATAGAGGAAGGGACCACTGAACCTCAGGATATCTCCCAAGTCCTGACAAAATAGCATATGCACAAGGGTTGTCAAGAGAAGCACATTAGATTGTGATAAATAAGCAGGGTGCACCAGGGAGTTTGACGTAGAGTGTACAATGTACATATTTATGTACTGAAAAATACCATCCCTGTATAGACATGGCCAAAGATCTAAAATAGTTAATGTCTTTTCTATAGATGGCCCAAAGATATCATTAAAAATCTAGAGATAGATGTGGGTACCAGAGGGGGAGAAAACTGCAAGCTGTCTTCCTGATTAGTAGCTGGGATTAAATCCAGAATAGTTGATTTTCCCCATGGAGCTATACGACTATATTGTGACAAGAATGTTATTTGAATCTACTTTTTCATGGTGGGGAGAAGCATACTTCAACTGAATTTCTGTGACAATAAGGTCTCTGGCTATGTTAAAATATATTCTGGTGCACAGCAAATACGACTTGAAGCAAAGGTCTGTAGAGAATTAGTATTCTAGATAAAGGCTTGGGTTTTGCCTGACACAGCACCAGGATGAATGGGCTGTTGTTAGGTTGAATTCTTTTCTTATTACCAAGCAGGTCTCCCAGTAGCACTTGCAAAGATAAGGAGATCAGGTCTCCAAATTCAGCGTGAAAGCTGATCACTAAATCATGATGGAAATTTTTCTCTTGCTTTCAAGGTATCAGGTAGTGGCTGTTACGACAGGCTACTGTGTCAGTTTGGAGACACATAAAATACCCTATTTTCTTCACCCTTAATACCAAGATTGTTGCCTCCCCATTAATATGCCCTTTTTATCTTTTCTCTTTCATTTGATATGTAATGCTACACTTTGCTTTGCTTGGTACTTTGGTGTGTAGCCTACATCCCAAGGAGAACACAAGTGACTGTGGGTCACATTTGTTTGGTAGCAGGCCTGGCTGCAGATCATCATTCCAGCTGTCCACAGAGGATATGTAGCTGGCTGGCATATAACCATCTCTGCCTTGTAAATTGAGGTCTCCTTTATCACATTGTTTCACAGCAGAGATAAGTGTGTCCTGCAAACACATTTCTGTGCATCTGAATCTTTTTATGGATTTGCTTTGACTGCTTTCCTTCCTTTTTTTGTGTTTGCTTTCCACAGTTATCCTGGGGAACACATTTTCTGGAAGGAATACTCACCAAGTGTGAATTTAGCATGAAAACACATTTCAGACTCATAATAACAGCCACTTACATCACAAAATAATTTCAGAAAGTTACACTCACCCACTTGGGAACAGAAACACATCACATCATCAGAATACCAACATCGTCCAAAGAACTGGACACAAATGAGACACAAAGCACAGATTATTCCAATAAAGTATTTAGCAAATAAGTCTGAGCAATAGGTCCATACATAAATATTGTGATTTCTTCTCAGATAATCTACAAAGATAAATGATTTAGCTATGTGTCAGATTAATTATTCAGCCAAATACTTGGAAAATAAGTGAGATGCAAACATCTGCTCTTAAAGAAGTCCTTTTAATCAACTAATCTTGTCAGCTTCTGACATAGGAAAAATGGAAAGAGAATGAAGCATAACAGTTTCTACCTGAGGAGCATTGATTATATGTCAGCAACATCCTTGTTTTAAATCTGGAGAAGAAGCCTTTGAATGCTAGTAACTTTCTTAAACCTAGCTTTGAGTTTGTAAAATCATACATAGCATCAAGATGCTACATCTCAAAAGTTTTGCAGGGATGCTCAAGGTCACAGTCAACATGTTTCTCAGAGAGATTCAAGAAATTAGCAAAATGGCATCTCATCTAGCTCCATTTGTTTCCTCTGTTGGATCACAAAATGTATTTCCCTCTTCTTACACCTTTCCTGAGTTACATCACAGCACCCCATTAAGGCAAATATGAATACATCTAATGACTCTCTCTTTCAGAACCACATTGAAATGCTTCTCCAAGAGAAGCAGCCTGCATCCCCCTTGAGCAATGAAGTCTGCCATCTGGTAGGTTTGTTCTTTGTAGTCATTTAGAGGATATTAAATCTTCTTTTGTATGCAGAGAATTAGGTGGTGGAGGGACTTGGCAATCTATTGAAGAAAAAAAAAAAGATGGAGAAAAAACAGTTCATAAAGGCATTGTGTCCAGAGAAGAATATTAGAGAGGCATTAAGTAGAAAGACAAAAGGCAAGCTAGCATCAGCTCCTTTGAAAGCTGTAAATCATTCCAACTCCTTGGGTGGTTGGTTAAGTTCATTGTTACTTGGGTAATTATTATTCTTCGTTAGAACCTAAGTTTCTAAACATATTTTGAAACAAAATCATCCAAAATGAGCTGCCAGAAAGACCCAATGGTGTGAAGGGGAGTCATGGAAAAAATATGTTCAAACAGAGCCTTTGAGGAAACCTGCAACTTTTCATTTACGTAGCTACATTGCTTATCTTTGGAAATTAGGGCTGTTTCAAGCTATTGTCTTTGGTTACTGAGTAAGTGTTGAAAGCAGCAGGCTCCTTGAGGGAGAGAGAGTCTCCAGACAAGGTTTCTGGTGTACCTTGGAGACTTTCACTGACCCTCTAACCTGGAGACTAATAGAGCAGGCTAATGCTTCCAAATCTGTTGTTTCAGCAGTGCCAGTGCCTGGGTGGAGGGCCCCTCTGTGAAGTGGAGGCTGTTGGCAGACTCTTCCAGCTGGAAGGATCAGGTAAATCCCAACAGAGTGCAGAGCTAGCAAATCTGTGGGCATGCTACAAATTCAGGAGATTTGGGCAGAGTCTGATTATCTAAAGCAAATGCATTACAGTCATTGATGGCATGGGATTGATTGATTGATTGATTGACTGATTGCAAAGACATTGCAGCTTCCAAAACAGGGATAACAACTCTAGAAGGTTTAAGCAGGGCCATAAACCTAAGTTAGATCCAAGTTAATTTTATTTTAGTGCTGATAGCTGTTGAGTCTTTAAGCATTCGGTTTGTATGTGAGGATACAAAAATCTTAAGAAGAGTGAGCTAGACAGTGTCACCACAAAGTGCAGAATAGCCCTGAAATTGAAACCCACTGTAGCACCTGCACTAGGGGAGGTGCCCAGTGCCACACAGAGCAGCCCTGAGCTAAGTTTTCTCAGTAGCAGCAGTCAGGGGTGGCATTTTGTGCCACCCTGTAGTCTCACATTGCAAACTCATCCAGACTTGCAGGACACAGCTGGCCCAGCCTCCTACCTGGGACTACATAGTCTCCTCAGGGCTCATGTAGGTCAGAAACTCTCTAAAAAGGGAATTCAACTGTTCTTGAACCATGGCAAAAATGCAAAAAGCCCTCACAAAAATACTGTACACTCCCAAGAAGTGCTGACCATGCACAGGGCAGCACCTACACCACAAAATTGATCCATGTAAGCCAGCTGGAACAACCAGATGTAAATTGGAGGAGCCCTCTGGCTCCCATTGCTACCTGTAGGAAAAAACAACCCTGTAATGAGCAGCAGCAGCAGCAGATTTCCAAACCCCTCCACTACTTCTCCAGATTCACAGTCAGTTTCCTACCAGACTCATGTGTCAGCAGGTCATAAAAAGTTTCAAGTCTCCTTTTCTTTTTCTGGCATTCTGGAAGGAGTTGTACTAACAATGAGCCACTGCTTGACAGCTCTGAATCCCAAGCTGTTGGGATACAGTGTGACTTCCAACATATTGCTTCCAGCCCCCACCACCCACGGGGAATGGCCTGGCAAGGGGAGAAGCACAGCCTGTTAGGAGGAGCCTTCCACAAAGAGATCCCTTATTCCCTGCACTCATGGCAAAGGCAGCACCCACCACCCATATCAGGCAATGCCAAGCAGCCAGTTCAGCTTCTGGCAGGTCAGGAGGTCAGAGGAATGGTGGTAACTTCACACATTTTGTGTGCTGCATGGCCCAAATCAAAGACTGCAGACCAAAAGATACCACAGCGAGAAACTATGGAGATTTTTTTTTTCCATCTTGAACTGCAGCTACAAACCCATGCAGGAAAGCTAACCCTAGGAGGCTGGAGGAGAAAGCAAAACATTAAACACCACCAACTGCTGTCATTGGATCTGGCTTTGCTCCAAGGTCTGGTGCAGCTGAGATTGATTAGGATATATAGTATCCTGGAAACAGTCAGTACCTTCAGCTGATTATAAAGCCATTTTAATTGTCTTGCCACCGCCATGGCAACCATACCCCTAACTACAGCCTCCAGGTGAGGAGATGGGCTGTTGGAGGACAGTCCAGTGCCTGTAGACCACATCTGATGATGATGCAGTGATTCAGACAGATAAAACCTTGCTTCAACACCAGAAGGGACCAAATTCAGAGAAGTAAATTAAGCCAGTACTGTAATACATGGTAGCCTATTATGATAGCCAACATTGAGCATAAACATTTAAATGGACATTTGGTATTATAGTGGGAGGCCTCCTGTTACAGCAGTCTCTGCAGATCTTATCCCATCAAGAACCCTGCAGTGCAGCACACCCACGTTGGGGTAGGCAGGGCCACATTCCCTGCGCAGCAGCAAGGAATGAAGATGTGTGGCCTTGGAAGCATATCAGGGAGTGAAGCTTGAGGAGGGGGAAAGTGCATAGGGGAGGATGGGAAAAGCATGTAAGCAGGAGCTCTGCAGCCAAGGAACAGCAGGTGTTTTAATAAAAAGTACCTCTTCTCCTTCCAGTAAGTTTTTGCTGTTTAATATCAGAATGCTTTATGTGATCCTTTGTTATTTCTCCAGCCTGAAGCTCAAAGAGCCCTGGCACCTGAAGCCTCTTTGATTCCTATGCTCAGTGCAAGTTAATACACCTCAGCTCCCCTGCTTCAAACAGAGCCCCAGCATGACCAGATTCTCTGACCCAAATGCCCTTGTACCAGGTGAGAACTGATCCTTTAGCTGCTGCCTGGTTTGTGTGAGAGCTGATCCTGCCATTGGCCAGCTGGTTTGTGCCTGTTTGGATTGAAGAGCTGTGCTGCCTGGGTTTTCCTTCATGATATGGAGCCATGCAACCTTATGTATTATGAGGTGCTTCACAAAAACAGCTTTTAAAATAATCAAATATCTGCAAATGAATTGGAAATGCTTCTTTCCCCGATCTCTGCAAGGACATTACTCAGTCAAATGCATCCAGAAAATTGAAGGACTGAGAATTTTCAATCAGGACTGGAGTGATTAATAGTCTTGGAGCACTCACGTGCTGACATGCCCACTGAACAACACGGTGTGACACCTCACAATTCACAATGAGAGGTGTGTCCAGCAGGGATAGCAATCCACAAAGGGGGGAGAGGTGGGAGAGGAAAGGCCAAATTTCCAGCATTAAATTCACAAGGTTAATAATGCCTTAGCATCATGCATATTCATCTGACTCCTTCACTTAAGCTGAGCCAGCTGTCCCTGCTTCTGACATTTTCCTACAACAGAGGCAAAAGAAATTGGTTCCTTTTAATCTATGGCAGAAAAGGTTTATGGTAAGAGATGCATGCTGTATACATGCTGTGTAGATGGGCAGTTGCCTCTGCTCAGCTGATGCACTGACTTATCAAGGCATGTGGAAACAGCAGGACACATGCCATGAAGAAGCAAGGTGAGAGCTGCATTGGAAAATGGACACCTGTGTGCAAGTGCTGCTGCAGACATGCAGCTCTGGAAATTGCATGTCCAGCCTGTGGGTCTTTGGCCATAATAACAACTCAGATTTTGGCTAAGGCTCAAGGCAGGGGCAGCTGGCACATGGGGGCTTGCACAGATCCTTTTCCCAAGATCCCAGAGGTCGGCACATGCATGAGGTGCCATCCTTGGCCTCAGCACGGGCACTTCTCACCAAGCATCTTGGCCATGAGTTTTCATCCGGATTTGGTGTACAGGATGAGTGTCCTTCCCACACCAGTCTTATCTGGATCTGAAAATGCAATCCCCTTCTCTTGGAGCCAGTAATTATTTCCATGGGATTAATTTTACAAAGACACCTATCCAATACTTGTGGTCTCCTGGCATAATTAATCATGAAATTAAATTCAGTCTGTGTAGTGTTCAGATCAGTTGCACAGGAATAACACTGGTTGACTGGCACTTATCCTGCTCATTATTGAGAGAGCTTTTGCCATACAGCCTATTTTAGAAACTGCAGTGGGCTTCAGAAACTACCAGTATGGGACTTCCAGGAGCCCACACAGAGGATATTCCACCCATATCCTCTGCTTTCCCAACTGGAGTCTGATCAATTTGCTCATGGAGCAAAGCGAATTTCCCACTTGAGACCTCAAGGGTTGGAAATAAAACTCCAAACTTGTCCTGGAGAGCACCAGGCAGATATTATTTGCTTCTGAATGTTTACTCTAGCTGCCATGGACACACCTTGAGCCCTACAATACTCTACAGGTCACTGTGGGTGTCAACAGAAGACAGAATGTCCCACAGTGCCCACCAGGCTGGGTGCAGCCTCTGAGGCCTATCTGCCACTTGAGACTAAACAGATCCTGTGGTGGAGACAGAAGCTTGCTCTTGTTTGGGGCCACAAAACCAAAATAAATTGTTTCCACAAAGCTCAAAATAGCTTTAAACCATTGTTTTCCTTGACAGTAGTCACTGTCTGTCTCTGCTCTCCACCTTGCCTTTTGCAGCTCATGGTGAAGCAGCTCGGGAAAATGCACAGGCAGACACTTGCTCATGGAGAGTAGAAGTGAAAGCAGGGGGAAAGTTCCTTGGAGGAATTGCACTCTCCCACAACCTCCTTGCACGATTCTGGTGTCCTTAGATACAGGTGGCAGAAGCAGTTTCTCTGGAGAACAGTGGAACAGCTTGTCCAGCCCCAGGTCTGAATCCTGCTCTGTCCCACCCAGCACCTGCACTGCACAAGGGGTATTCCCTGATGGGATACCTCCCTGATAGGGTGCACATGCACCCTACTATCTCCCTGGGGTGCTGGTGCCAAGGACACCTCCTGCAAGATTTCCTGCAATCCCAGTGTTACTGGGGAGTTGGTTTTAGTCTCCATAGGATAAATCTCCCCTTGCAGCTACTCTGTCCTCAGGCAAGAATAACTCAGAAGTTGAGGAACAAAACTGTCAGAAACAATTGGCCAGCCCATTGCCACGTGGGGTTCATTATCAGAACACTGATCTATACAGTGAAGTGTGTATATATTGAATATTTTGGATTAAACCAATAGCTATGTTTTATATACACTTACAAAAAGTGTATATAAAAAGCACAAAGTGCATAAAAGGTCACTGTTCAAGAGCAGCTTCCAAAGAAAGCCTACAAACTGGTTCTTGGGTGGCTGTTGGGTTGGAATTCATACCCATAACCCCAGCACTAGAAAAATTCCAGTAGATATACTCCCTGTGTAGAGTGTACATATGTTTACATATACATCCTTTGGAAGGAGCTGCTTTCACTCCCAAATGGGTTTCCTGGGCACAAGCACAGATCCTTCTCATCCACCATCCTGGGTGCACGAAGAGCTGACTGCAGCTGTGCCACCACTGTCCCACTGCCCCAATGGAATTACCTTCCACCACTGCCCACAGAAAGAGGCAGTCTCTTCCCTTAAATCAGCAGCAGCTGACATTTTCACCCCCACCAGCCAAGCATGAATGACCCTGAAACGCAGACTGAGCTCCTTATTTCCTGACAACTTAAGACAGAGCAGAGGAGATTGAAGCAGAGGTTACACACTGCTCCCTCCTCACCTGCAGCTGTGTTTCCCCTGGATGCTCCATGCACCTTGAGCCATCCATGGATGCTGGCATTTGTTTTGCAGGACCTCCCATGAAACAAATGCTGGAAGGGTCTCCCCTGGTTGACACCCATCTCCCATTCAGTGTTCCCATGCTTGTGTGCTTGTGCTGGAAGCACCACTCTCAGGAAAAAGGCACTAAAGGAAAGGCCTGTTCCAGCAGCCGTGGCGCATGTCCCTCCTTTGAGCCTGCCAGCGAGGGGACCCCATGGGCTGCACGTCTGCAGGCTGAACCCACAGCTCCCATTGCTGGATGTGCAGAGGGAGGGAGGCAGATCTGCTCCCCCCTCTCATTCCTCTGCACCCGAGTTTGACGCCCAGCATCAAAGGATGCCCAGCAGTGGGAGGACCGTGCTCCTTTGTACATCCACATTCCTCCACCACTGCTCCTCAGGCTGCTGCCACCAGTGTGACTTCTGCCACTGCGTCTGTTTTGTGCCTCTATCCGCAGCATCACCAATACTTGCAGAGCTGCAGATGCCTCCTGCCAGCCTGTCTGCAGTGAGCCCCTGGCAGGGGGGAGCCCCTTACCACAGCCCTGGCACAGACTGCTGCCAGCCCCAGCTCCGCAGCCCCTGGGGACAAGGTGGTGGCATGCTGCGCGCCGCAGAGCGTGTCCCTGCCGCGGGTCGGGGATGCCCATGGGAAACTCACTTCGGTGTGGAGCACCCGCCCCCCGCAAAAAAAAGAACACCTCCAAAAAGAACCCCAAAAAAGTTTGTGCTTTCCGCATTCGACGTTTTCTCATCAAGGACTGCTGCAGGGCGAGCTCGGGACACCCGTGAGCAAAGCAAGGGGAAAGGGGGAACTGCTCCGGGGCAGTGACCCCTCCGGGACCTCCGTCCCGCGCCTGGCGCTCTGTGTGACACCGGCACCGTGCGGGGGTCGGGGCTGGGTGAGGCCGTGCGGTCCCACACGTGCCCGCGGAAAGTGCCCCCTCCCCGCGGGGCGGCCGGGCCGGGCCGGGCCGGGCCGGGCCGTGCCTACGCGCCGCCCCGCCGGCGCTGCCGGGGGAGTGGTTTCCCCGCGCTGGCGGCGGCGGGGCCGGTCTGCGGGCGGGGAGGTGCCGCGGTGGCGGTGCCAGCGCCCGGCCCGGGAGGATGCGGACGCGCTGACGGAGCTGCCGGCTCCCCTCTGCCGCCGTGCATGGGCGGCGGGCGGCTGCCGCCTGCCTCGCCTCGCCTCGCCTGCCGCGCCGGTGAGCCGGGCCGGGCCGGGGGTCTCCGCAGGGCTCGGGCGTGCGGAGAGGGGGAGAGCTGCCACCTGTGAGCGCCCCGCTCGCAGCCCCGCGGCGGCCGGGACCAGCTCCCCGGGACCCGTGGCGGAGCTGGGCGGAAGGGCGGCGGGTCGGGTGTGTGCCGCTCCGTGCGGTGCGTGTCCGTGCGGGTCCGTGCGGTGCGGATCAGCGCCGAGCCGGTCAGAGCCGAGCCGGTCAGTGCCGTGCGTGTCTGTGCGATGCGGGTCAGTGCCGTGAGGATCGGGTCGGTCGAGTCTGTGTGGTGCGGGTCGGGTCGGTGCCGTGCGGGTCAGTGCGGTGCGGGTCGGGTCTGTGCGGGGCACGGGAGCCTCGGAGCGCGGTGCCGCGGCTCGGAGCGCTGCGGGGCCGTGCGGGAGCGCGGAGCGGGAGCAGCGCTCCGGTCCCACGGGCGGCTGCGGGGTAACGGGGGAAGAGGGAGACGCGCGCCTCTGCCGCCCCTTGTTTCTCCACATGCTTATTTGTTCGTGTAAAGGGTGTTACGGAGAATTCACTGAGAAAAAGGGTTCTCGTTTACAAAAACACCACCCAACTCGTTCGGCAGCCGAAAGGGCTGTGTGAAGGAATCCTGATGAATGAGCGCAGCGCTGAGGGAGTTGTTGGCTTGTGGGCTGCGATCGCCTCAGCTATTTGTTTATGCCTTTTTTTTTCCAAGACAACTTTTGAGGCGAGGAAGCGACTAACAAAGCACAAGTTTAAGACGATGATTTTGCTTGCAGCCGAGCTGAAGTGAGCACTGAAATCCTGCGTTTCCCATCAGGTAGCACATACCACACATACTATTACTTTTAGAGAATGAAAGAACCTACTTTGCTCTGTAAATGAGGACTATGTTTCACTCAGAGCAAGGGGTGAGAGTATTTTCCA